GACAGGAGGAGAGAGTGCTGTTGTAGTAGTTGGTGAGAACAGTGGGGTCATGGGACAGTGGAGGAGGTAGTATGGACAGGTGGTTGAGGACGGAGGTAGAAAAGTCAGTTGGGGAAACGGATTTGAGGTTTCTGAATGGGAATGGGGGTAGGGAGGTGGAGGTCCAGAGTGATAGCCAGGTGATCGGAAATGTTGAGGTTGGTGCTAGAGAGTTTTTCAATGGTGAGACCGGTGGAAAAGACCAAGTCCAGAGTGTGACTGTGGGTGTGGGTGGGAAAGTTGACATGTTGAGTGAAGTTAAGGCAGTCCAAAAGGTCAAGAAATTTAGAGGCAGGTTTGCAGTTGGTGTTGTCGATATGGAAGTTAAAGTCGCTAAGGAGCAGAGTGAAAGGTGAGATAGGTGAGAGCTGTGTGACAAAATCGGAGAAGTCTGATAAAAATGATGGGTTGAATTTCGGGGGACGGTAAATGACAGCAATGACCAGGGGGGAGGGACCAGGGAATTTGAAGGTGATATGTTCAAAGGACTCAGTGGGTGAGGTGGATATAGTGCTGATTTTAAACTCTGTTTTAAACTCTGCCTCATTCAAATTAAGATTTGAATGAGACAAAATAACATGCTTTTTCTCTCAAATATATTGTTATAATCATTTGTTTCAGATGTACTGTGATAATTTTCTGTATAAAAATGAATTGGGTGTTCAAAAAGTCATTTTTCAAACTCGAGTCTTGAAAAAGAGGGGGTCGTCTTATAATCAGGGCCGTCTTATATTCGGGCCAATACGGTAATTACATAAAAGATACTTTGAAAAAAAATGTGGCGAGAGGCTATGAATCAAAATGTCAAGAACATCTAGAGAAATAAGCACTTGGAGACAGAGTCGTGAGCAAGGCTAATAATTTAACAGCCAATTGTCTGTGAAGCAGAGTGTACTGTATATTGGAAGCTGGTAATGAGGCGTGATTATTGTCAAGTTTGGCTCATGAAGGAACGCCCACTCTCCAGCTGGAGACAAACAAAGCAGAGGACAGGATCATGACACACTCCTTGCCTCGTGGCACTTGGGTCCTCCAGCTTTTTGTCACCCTCGTTACCAAAACCCTAAAATGTCAAGCCTTGCTCATATGCCAAATTTTTCCTCACAACATAAAGCAAAAAACAAAAAAAACAAAAACAAACAACGACAGCTTAGAACCTCAAAAGCTCAGAATAAATACATGATAGCACAGGCTTGCTCGGGGCTTCGTACCTGCAAGGTGAGCGGCCGAGGAGCTGCTAACATTTTCTGCTGGAGTCATGAAGGTGTTTGTAAGAGCTGCAGAATGGGGACTCCCTTTTGCAGAAGGTGGAGGACCGATTGACTCTCCTTTTTTTTTAACACAGCCGAAGGTGCATACAGTGCTGACGTAAACAGGCAGTTCAGGATCGAGTAGCATCAAGGTAGAGTAGCAGACTGTCACTGGTCAATGGTTTAGACGTTTTTTTTTTGGGAGATAAACACAATGTTTTCTTGACTTTGGAGATGCTAATATTTGGGAAGGGAAAAAGCGGTGGGAACATCTAGCCAATACTGGAGCAGATGGACCACCAGAAACCAGTCGTGGCCTTTGTAGATGAGGAGTGGGCCTGCCACACATCCGGGGTGGGACTGAGAGAGAAAGCAAGGCACACGTATGGAAGTGGTGGTTAGGTGCACAGTGCGTCAATACCTGCTGGGCTGAGGACCAGGGCCTGGAGGAGGTCCGACAGTGAGACGATTCCTCTCACCACATCCTTGGCATCAACCAACACTAAACGATGCACCTAGCAAAGCCACAAGTCAATGCGACATTACTGCTTGATAGTCAACAACTTTATTTGTCACTATTGTTCTTTGTATAGCTCGGTCACCTAAATGGCAAGTTCGCCATGTTGCCTTGACTAGACTGTGTCGTGTATGTCTTGAAACAATCAAGGCTAAACAAATATCAATGCTCGTGCTGCAATGACCGTAATTTCTGCACTATAAAGTGCTTTGGATTATAAGGTGCACTTTCAATGAATGGCCTATTTTAAAACTGTTTTCATAGGTAGGGCGCACCGCACCGTATTATAAGGTGCATAAAATAGAAGCTACAATAGTAGCTGTGGTTACGCTATGCATCCACTAGATGGAGCTACGCTAAAGGGAATACAATACAATACAATACAACTTTATGTAGAGCCTTCACAACTGGTGCAGCTGTAACAATAAGAAGTGGTCACAAACACGAACATAAAACATATAAATACAAATGGCATTACAAAACAATAAATGAAAGACAAAAGTTATGAAGACAATTGATTCAACAAAAAGGCACACAAATCTCATGGGTTCACATCCCCAAGGGGTTAAATATCCTCAGAAGTCTTACTTGTCTCCTTCTTCTTTCGTTTAGTCAGTAGTGAACTACGCTTTCGGTATTATCTTATTTTGATAATGGCTGCGCAGAGCTCACCAATTCGTCGTCTGAGTGTGTGTTGGCAAGTGCACATATCGTTTGGTGTTGGGCGGAACCTTTCACGTTACATTTGGTTCCTGCTAATAATCACCACTGGATGGCAGAGGAACACTAACAGGGAAACAACTCCATGGGGAATATAAAGAGACTGAAACCCCTTATAAAAGGCACATTGGATTATAGGGCGCACTGTTGGCTTTTGAGGAAATTGGATGCTTTAAGGTGCGCCTTACAGTGCGGAAAATCCAGGATACGGTATTTATTATGATTATTCCAGGGGTCACAATAGCCAAGCGGCTTAGCATATCTGCCTCAAAGTTCTGAGGACGGGGGTTTTGAATTTGCACTTCTTCTGTGCGGTTTGCATGTTTTCCCTGTGCTTGCATTGGTTTTCTCTTGTTACAATGGCCACCTCCCACATTCCAAAATGTACCAGCCGTGTCAGAAAGGTCCCAGGACTGGTGTCAGAAAAGATATTTCAAATGAAAACTGTAATACCTCACATTCATTAGACACTCTAAGAGTCCTTAGGCGTGAATGTTGGCGTCACTGCTTTGTTTATGTGTTTGGCTTGTGACCAATCCAGGGTTTACCCCACCTCATGCCGAAAATCATCTGGGATAGGCAGTATAGAAAATAGATCAATGACTCCTGAACAACAATAGATCCATAATGCATTTTGTAACCGAACAGCAGCCAGCAGATGATAAAACAAGTCTGTTACCTCAGCCTGAGCGATGCGGTCAATGATGGTCTCTAAGGTTTCATGAGGGTAACATTTAAGCACTCCTTCCATACAGCAGGCTCTGGAGGCAACAGCCTCTGTCATGGTCATATCCAAGTTGTTGTAGCGCTTCTGGGCTGCAAGATTCTTTCACACAGACCAATGTGGAATATAGAATTAAATTGGAGCATGAAGCAAAATGACCCTTTTCAACTATGTTTGTATGTGACAAGATGCGCGATTGCTAGTTTTGAGTCCCTAAATCCAAGTAACGGTACATGAAGTTACAATACTATTTTAAGAACAACATGAACAGTATGAACTTGTGACACTTACAATGACATCAAATCTGGAGTACAGCGCCACTACTTGACCTGAGAATGAAGTAGAAGAAGAGACATCAACGTGACAAATGCACAGTTACAGATGACCACAATTTATCCCACGGGATATCTTTTGGGCTTTTGTTGGCATGAACGTAAAAACAAAATGGAGCTGCTCTGGCTAGTAGAGAAGCTGGACCTTGACTTCAAAATGTTTGGAATTTCTCAAAATGGAAAGAAATCACATTTTTGCAAAAGACGAGCTAACTAGTTATGCAAATTAGGGTAGCACCTACAGTTTTTACATAAATAGCAGAACTTCACGGTCAATTGCCAGATTAATGTTATGACTCTGGCTCTGATGCTGGGGACCTCTGCGGGAAAGAGGCCCTTGCGGATTGGTGAACTACCTTGCTCATTGACCACAGGCAGAGCGGACACCCGTCGCTCCACAAAGATGCTCAGAGCGTCGTAGACCGACGCCGATTCCTGCACTGTTGCGATCTGCTTAAAGGTACCGATAGCCAGCTGACCGATCTGTTTTTGCAGGAACCATGGCTTTGGAATCATAGAACCCTGGTGATGGAGACATATTGAATAAATGAATATCGTCAAACACTAGAACGCTGACACACAAATGGGATCCCAACACACAAACATGAGGGCGAACATTTTAATTGTTTTGCTTACAAATATGTGGAGGAATTTGAGGATGCGTTTGTGTGTCAGGATATGCAGGACATTTCCCGATGCCGGGTCGATAACGGGAAGGCGGTGTATCTTGTTCTTTAACAGGGAGTAGATGGCATCAAACAGACTAGAGGGAGGATAATATGGTCTTTCAACAAATGTCCAACAACTTTTACAATTTCAAAAAAGGAGACATAGACCTGGCCTCGGGGGTGATGCTGATGAGCCTGTTGGTGGAATACTGCAGATAGATCTCTGCCGAGAGGGGAGGCAAGTTCAGAACATTAAGCGATGGTGACGAGCACTGCTTTCGATGCGCTATTATTACACCCCCGTGTCACGTATACATGCCTCGCCACGTCTCGATCTTGTGCTCCTCCAACTCGTAGATCTGAACCTGTCGTCAACACAAATCTCCATCAACTGGCTTGTTCAATGGCTGCCTGCTTTGTAGCATATGGGACAGAAGGGATACAAAAAAAAAACACTACTCAACGAGACAAAAAGGAAACATCGGTTGGCTTACCAGTGGAGACTTGTAATAACGATGGAGGATGTTGATGAAGTCCGTGATGGTCAGCATCCCTGCGGATAAAGATAAAAAAAGTTCTGAATGATGGTCCACATGATGGAGCTCTGTGCTATTCTAAATCACTCAAACATTATCGAAGGGTTGCAAGGGATCCTTGGGTTAACACGTTCTTCAAATACAATCTTTCTGGGTTACAAACAGCGTGCGGATTAAAGGGACCGTTGGCAAGAATGTCGATTTTTCACAAACCGGGATCAAACAAAGGATGTCTTTCAGTACTTCTTAACCCAGATAAAATTGAGAGGATGATCAGTGGCTCTGCTCGTCATCAGCATTTCAAGACACCAATCTGATTCTTGATAAACCAGGGTAGGGAATGCCGGTTGCTCGAGAGCCATATCTCGCTTGTTTTAGATCTCTCCCTACTCCAACACAACTATTTCAATGGATCATGATCGATTCAGGCTTCTACAGAGCTCTTTCAGGGCACCGTATTTAAACCACACACACACACTCTCTCACACACACACACACACACACACACACACACACACACACACACACACACACACACACACGCGCAGGAACACAACAACTAAACACACAGCCTGTTGTCGGTGGCTTGGTCTTGTACACCTGCTGGCAGTGGCTAGCAAGTGTACCTAATGTTGTGGCCAGCGTGTTTAGGCGCGCATTCCTTCTAAAAGCTGAGAGAGGAGCTGAACTTGCGAGTCGGCGGTGAGTGGAACACTTGACAGCAGGTAAGAAGGACAGAGAAAGGTGTAAAAAAATAAATAAATAATGCACAGCTCACCTACAAAACATTTGAGCTTATTGTCCCACAGAGGTGCTGCTCGTACACCGTTAGCCACCAGAGCAAAGAAAGCCTTCTTCACCTTCACATAAACGCACAAAACAAAAATCTGGTGATTAAAATATTGATTTTTTTTTTTTTTTTTTTTTAATAAATGAAGGGATAAATCAGCCTACTCATGTACTACCTGCAGTGCAGTGTCAAAGATGACCAGCTTGGAGCTGGTGGGAATGGCGTCATAGCAGCTGTGGTTCTTCATGAAGTTCATGTAAATGAAGGCATCTCGCTCTGGGCCTGCTGGGGGGGCCGCAGCATCCATCCATGTAGGTGAACAACTGCCTGTCAGATCACACACGCTCTTTCACCGCTTTGACTACCACCGATTTGAATGAAACGATGGCAAAAACGTAAATATTGGGTTGCACCACCAGCGATATGAAAAAAGATGTAGTTGTTTTTTTCCCCAACTTCTTAAAAAAAAAAAAAAAAAAAAATGAACCCAGCAGAACCTGGATTAACTGAGTCGAAATAGTGCACTCCTGAAACAAAGTCGGCAGGTTAATGGAAGTTATTTTCTCACAGGTATGTACAAAATTTCAGGTTGCGTTGTCTATAATTTTGCAAACTATAATGGCTAACCTGCTAGTAGACCACAGCATGCTAGCTACAATATTTCACATTGAAATAACCCATCTGTGCTATTAAGCCAAATAACATAAATATCTTTTAATTAGCCATTCCCTCAGTGATTAAGTACAAATGTGAAGTATGTCTGCATTTGCAATTCAATTTTTGAAATCCCAGTACAGGGAAACTCCTCTACAACGAAATCATGTTTGCAGCAAGTCATTTTTCTCAACAGGGTTTTTTTTACTGTAGCAAATTTTATCTCAGATGTAAACACCCCCCCCCCCGCGGCGTAACGCAAATTTTGGCTCGCAAAAAAATAAATCTATCAATTTAGCTAGCTATGTATATATAGGAGCTAGCTAACTTCTATCTAGCTAGCCACACACACACACACACACAAAACGTATATGTGTACTCTTTATTTTTATTCCAATACTGTACATAGTGCATAAATATGAGCATACACTTATTTGATAGTTTAACATTAACATACAATTGTTTTATATTAATCACTCTACTTTGTCTGTTGGTTTTAAAAAGTCATTTAGACTGTTTTGCTTCCCAACACTTCTCAATTTCTTGGATATGTCTTTTATTTTGCTTCCTCTGTCTTTCATTTTGATCACTTTTACCCTCTCTTCCAGCGTCAGAGCTCTTCTTGTCTTAGCTGCTTGACATCCAAAGGTCCGTTTTGTAGCCATTTTAGCAATGCAACGAAAGACTTCCTGGACTACTGCGCATGTGTAAACCAGTGTGGTGGTTGCTGCGGAACGAAGCAGCAGAGGTCGCTGTTGGCTCAGGTTGGATTAGACTTTTGCGGAAGGCTTGTTTTCATTGTAGTGAATCTCATCGCGAGGCAAGAGTAGAGAAAAAGATTTCGTATAACGGAACAGGGTGATTTTTCGTTGTAGGGGGAGCAGAAAAGTGGGAATGGCTTTCATGCATGAAAATTTTTTCACACTAGGGGGTATTTCACCCACGTAGGTTTTGTTGTAGAGGAGTTTCACGGTACCTGTTAAAATGTACATTACAGCCCATGTTCCATCTTGCATCAAAGCAATTTACCTCACGGTCACATTTTGTCACGTAGCGAGGTGGTGGTGGACCCCAAAAAGCAGGCAGGAGGGAGGAGCAGGGTGTACTTGAAAGATTGTATTAAAACTCAGAGAAAACGAAATCCAAAACAAACATAGTCCAAAGTATCAAACAAAACACATGACTGAAGATAAAACATAACACTGACCAAAACATGACTGAAACAAACATGACAGTAGCACAAAGCAACAATGACCCGACACCGAGTGTTCGGGCTGGGAGTCTTTTTAAAACACTAATTACATAATGACCAACAGGTGTGCAGCTGCAGGGAGAGCCCTACAGTGCCACCTGTTGGTCCCAAACCGAATCATGACAGTAGCACAAAGCAACAATGACCCGACACCGAGTGTTCGGGCTGGGAGTCTTTTTGAAACACTAATTACATAATGACCAACAGGTGGCACTGTAGGGCTCTCCCTGCAGCTGCACACCTGTTGGTCCCAACCCGTTTCTGCAAGAGGAAATTCCAAATGATATACTGTCATGATTCGGTTTGGGGCCAACAGGTGGCACTGTAGGGCTCTCCCTGCAGCTGCACACCTGTTGGTCATTATGTAATTAGTGTTTTAAAAAGACTCCCAGCCCGAACACTCGGTGTCGGGTCATTGTTGCTTTGTGCTACTGTCATGTTTGTTTCAGTCATGTTTTGGTCAGTGTTATGTTTTATCTTCAGTCATGTGTTTTGTTTGATACTTTGGACTTTGTTTGTTTAGGATTTAGGTTTCTGTGTTTTATCAATACACTTCTTCAAATACACCCTGCTCCTCCCTCTTGCCTGCTTTTTGGGTCCACCACCACCTCGCTACGTGACACATTTTCTTTTGAAAGCGGTCGTTTGCCATCTGGAAGCACGTTACGTGTGACTTTATAGCGATAAGGCCCATGACTAATCATTATCAGGACACTTGTGTCGTCATTATCGTCATTACCTGCGTCTGCCATTAAATCATCAGCCCCCTTGTCCTCTTCCAACTCCATTTCAAACAACGGCACCTGGAAAAGAACATGAGACAAAACCTCAGCTACACCTGCCCAGTGCAATGACACCAAATCGAAGAGCCGTCATTTTGCAACCGCATTGCAAGCAACACTCGAGGTAAACACAACAGAACAGATAACAGCAAGATGCAGCACGGATGTACGCCACTGAACAACTAGACCCATCCCATCCATCCATCCATTTTCTACCGCTTATCCGGGGTCGGGTCGCTGGGGCAGCAGCTTTAGCAGGGAAGCACAGACTTCCCTCTCCCCAGCCACTTGTTCCAGCTCTTCCCGGGGGATCCTGATTCGTTCCCAGGCCAGCCGGGAGACATAATCTCTCCAGCGTGTCGTGGGTCGTCCCCAGGACCTCCTGCCAGTGGGATATGCCTGGAACACCTGACTTGGGAGGCGTCCAAGGAGGCATCCTAATCAGATGCCTGAGCCACCTCATCTGGCTCCTCTCAACGTGGAGGAGAAGCGGCTCGACTCTGAGCCCCTCCCGGATGACCGACCTTCTCACCTTATCTCTAAGGCAGAGCCCAAACATCCTGCGGAGAAAACTCATTTTGGCCGCTTGTATCTGGGATCTCGTTCTTTTGGTCACGACCCATAGCTCGTGACCATAGATGAGGGTTGGAACTACTACTGGAAAAAACTAGACCGTATCATAAATGATAAAAAAACAAAACATATTTGATACAGCTGGAGTACTATAGACATGTTCAAAGGATTGCACAGCTGTACCTACATGTTACACTCAGAGCATAACATGACTCAAGACATTGTCATTAAAAAAAGACCATTGAAAATCCTAATCGTGAATCGTACAACTGGGGAAATGTGTGTCAGTTTTTAACAAAGAGAAAAATCTCCACCGACAATTGCACGTCTCAGAATATGAGGATGCATGCTCAAATTTGGCCCAAATGTTGGTATGTGTGCACTCTGCTTAGAGCACTGGTCCCCAACATTTTTTGTGTAATGGACCAGTTGAGACAAGTACATGCTGTTTGCGGAAAGCATTTATTTCATTGCCAGACTTAAAAACAGTGGTATTGACAACAAAGAAAAATATTGAGCAATTAAACATTTTATTAACATGGATTTTTGTTTACATTAATTTCCAACAGAGTTATTCTGCTGTACAACAAACGTAGAATGAAATAACACAGTGAAATGGACCAATTAGGAATAATAAATACGCCTTATAATTTATAGTAATAATTAAATAATAAACATTTCAACTGAGTAGGTAAAAGTCATGCCTTGTCTCATGTTAAACTGTCTCTGGCATGATCTCAAATGCTGACTGACACCTTCCCACAGCTCTACACGTATAATCAGGGCTTTGATCTGACCCGGGCCGACCGGGTGAAACGACACACTTGGCAGAAGATCAGATTTATCGATGTGAGAACACTGTTTGAGAAAGCAACTTTTTTGCTGATGAAAGCACAGCCGAGTAAAGAAGATCCATTAACACAGGACGAGACAGAGGGGCACGGCCCCTCCTGGGAGATGACCCCGGAAGTGTAGCAGAACTAAGGCTCTGCCTACGCTTCAAGAGGTTCTGAGAATCACAAATAAATGTGAGCTCTGGGAGCAAAGTGCTCTAGTTAGATTAACAGAGCTGTTAATGTGACAGTGAAACGGTGGTGCACAAAAACCTTGGTGTTTGTGCAACAGAAGGCTAATCATTTGTCGGATCATCGAAAAAACAATTGCGATTTGACCTTTACGTTAAGCCTCAAGGATGATGGAATCCACTAAAACCTTCTCTGAGCCAGATACAGAAGAATGCTGTAAGCTTTGTTGTTTCGCATAGTTGTTAGGGAGCAAGACCTGGCTCTCCCAACAAGGCATTACTTGCCATGCAAAACAAAAATAAATAAAAAGTTTGACAACCACCGTTCTTAGCTACACAAATAGCAAAAATGGACTAACTTGATGACAGGAGTCCTACCTCGGCAGGAGACTCCATGTTTGGGGAAGTGGTGGTGCAGACTTCCTTTGCATCAGAACCCAAAGCTAAATATCCTTTATGGCCGATATTTGGAGGGTCCTGTGCCCATGTTGACGGTGAGAACGAGAAATCAGTGGAGCAGCGCAGCGCGATTCAACCAGCTGAACCTGGAAGTCTGGGAAAAGTTGAGGTCTAAATCTGGACAAAGTGGTGAGAGGCCTGTGGCATTCACTGCAAGAGAGCTCGAAAGGGAAGGCGAGGCGAGGTGGGTGACAACATGCAACAGCCAAGAGTAAGGAAGGGAGAGAGGTGCGGTAGCTAAAAATAGTCCTGGTATACACATTAGGACCACTTACAAAATCAGATGTGATCCAAGACAGAAGCTGTCGTGTTTGTCTTCGAAATGATTACATTACAGTGAACCCATTCACTGTAATACAATTCTTTCGGTTGCTTGCAAATGCAAAAGTAGGTGAAAAACTCTCCCAAACTCCCTCTGAGTACAAGAGCAGAAACGTGTACCACAGATTTTTTTACGACATCAAATATTTAATTGGAAGGTTGATTTCAAGGCAGTGCCTTTAGGATTAGTTGAGCAATTTGGGTTAAGGTTAGGCTTGTTGGTCCACTCCACGAAGAACAACCCCAAACTTATGATTCATAGCTGTAAATCCTGATCGAACTAGTGTTTCTCGCATCGTATTTTCCGCACAGTAAGGTGCTCTGGAGTATAAGGTGCACCTTCAATGAATGGCCTATTTTAAAACTGTTTTCGCACTGCATTATAAGGCGCGTAGAATAGAAGCTACAATAGTGGCTGCGGTTGCGCTATGCATCCACGAGATGGAGCTACACTAAAGGGAATACAATACAATACAGTTTGATTTATATAGAGCCCTGGCTGTGGTTGCGTTATGCATCCACGAGATGAAAAAGTCCGCTAAAGGGACATTTAAAATACTACTTCCAAGAAATCAGAGGTGATCTACATGTGGCGTTGGACTCACAGTGCACAGGTGTAGGGTTCGATTCCAGCTCCGTCCTTCCTGTGTGGAGTTTGCATGTTCTCCCCGTGCCTGCGTGGGTTTACTCTGGGTACTCCGGTTTCCTCCCACATTCCCAAAACATGCATGGCAGGTTAATGGAACACTTTGAATTGTCCCGAGATGTGAGTGTGTGCGCGGATCGTTGTTCGTCTATGTGTGCCATGTGATTGGCTGGCAACCAGTTTAGGGTGTCCTCCGTCTCCTGTCCAATGACAGCTGGGATAGGCTCCGGCACGCCCCGCGACCCTTGTGAGGATAAGCAGATCAGAAAATGGATGGATGGATGGATGATCCTTATGTAGATCCCTCAGGATGTAGCATGAAGCACGACACTAAGTCCATAAGAATAGACTAGAGCCTTTATTCCTTGCCATAAATACAATTGGCATGACAAAACAATAAATGAAAGACAAAAGTCATGAAGACAATTGATTCAACAAAAAGGCACACAAACCTCGTGGGCTCACAACCACAAGGGGATAAATATCCTCAGAAGTTTTGCTTGTCTCTTTCTTCCTTAGTTTAGAAAATATTAAAAGCATATGCTTTCGGTATTTTCTACGTTTCATAATGGCTGTGCAGAGCTCACAAAGTACTTGTCTCTTTGAGTGTGTGTTGGCAAATGCACGTCCATTAGTGTTTTACGTTACAATTGGTTCATGCTAATAATCACCACGAGGAACACTAACAAGGAAACAATTCAGTGTGGAATTTAAAGAGACTAACATCATATATAAGGCGCATCGGATTATAAGGCGCAGTCGGCTTTAGAGGAAATTGAATGTTTTAGGTGTGCCTTGTAGTGCGGAAAATATGGTACAAAAGGATTTGCAAATCATTGAATTTGGGTTTTATTTGGACATATCGAAATACCCTAAATTCATTGGAATTGGGTTTCATCAAATATTTTTCAAACCACCTATAATCAAAGGGGGTCAAAAAATGAAATCACCCCAAAACCTTAATCAAAAACATTACCTGACCGGAGGTTCATGTAGTATACCACAGGTGTCAAACTCAAGGCCCGGGGGCCAGATCTGGCCCGCCAGATCATTTTATGTGGCCCGCAAAAGCAAACCAAACATGTCAAGTTCTACCTTGATTGCTAAAATCTGGACCAAAATTTCAACTTCTCACATGTAATAAATAAGAGAGATATTGTACGCATTCTCTTGTCACCAAACCCCTCATTACAGTAAGTTAAACAATTGTTGAATCAACCATTATACTTGACTTCTTTAAATGCATTCACAATCATAATGGCCCTCCAAGGAAAACGGTCACTTCAACGTGGCCTTTGGCAAAAATGAGTTTGACACCCCTGTTGTATACAGTAAGCAGAAGGCAAGGACAGCTGTTTTCTCGTATCCTACTATTAATACATGTGGTTATCCAAACAGGCCTGCCGCTCAAGAGTGAAAAGCCAAGCTATTAATAGCTTATAACCATGTCCTGTTGCAAACGCTGAGCGGCCCCCATTCAACTTGGTCATTATTTTACAGGGGGAGACTCCAACAATCATACAAATTAACTGCAACAGCACTCACTCACTCAAACACACACACACACACACACACACACACACACACACACACACACACACACACACACACACACACACACAGACACAAACTACTTCAAACATAACTTTTATTTTGAATATTTATGCTGAGCAGTATTTTCAAGCCCTTAAAAATGCTACATTTGTCCAGTTTGTAAAACATATCACAATCTCATAAAGTACATTACATTTCAGTTATGTTCGGAACAAATACCCGCCTCCCAACACAAACAAAGCGGCCAATGAAAACGCTGTCAAGAGTGGCATTGACGCAGATCAGCATCGTGAGAGAAAATTGTGCGGTAATGTGGAAGTGCTGACAAACTAGGTTTCAAGCAATCCAGATGTGTTTGTATGTAAATCGTGTTTTTGAACACCCCCCCCGAAATAAATCAAGTTTCATTTGAGAGGTAGATTGAAAAGACAATCCAGTACAGGCCCTTTCATGCAGACTCTGATAGTACGAGGCCTTGTAAAATCTGCGCTGTGCACAAATCTTGTGCTACCATTAGATTTGATGCTTGTTTGAGCAATTACTGTCCAAGAAAAATTCACAAAATGCGGTTGTTTGAAAGCAGTAGCCGTTGAAAGCAGTCTTCCGCCAAAGAGAAATTGTTAAACACTAGTGAAAAAGTTTTCGGGGTTTTTTTTGGCCATTTGTTTGTTAGCCATCAGGCTACTGGTGATGCCACTGCGATTCTGGAGGGTGGACGCTCCCATTTTTTGTAAATCAAAGGGTGCAAATACACCTTTATCCAAATCCACACCTGAATTGACCTGCTTCTTACTGGAGGTGTAAACGTGCGTGGCTTTCTGAAGGTGTTCTCGCCGTCATTGAAATACAAAGATACATTTACTAAGGACAAAAAAAACCTGCCAGCCAATAACGGCCAGTGGGTCCTGTGCTCTAAGTTAGAAAGACAAGTGTGCTTCCGGTGAGTTTGCATCTGGCGAAGGATTTATTACAGCAGAATCCAAAAGCAACAATATGGGGTTGGAAGGTTAATGTGGTTTCTAATCATCTGCGGTTCTGTTCCAAGAGCAACCAATGTCCTTTGTGTCAACAGTCAGAGGGTGTGCATTCAACATTCATCAAACTCCCTTTAACACTGAATAAACAGGCGCTGCTCATTTCTGGTGATTATAGTTAAGGATTACAGTATTATTCAAAGTGGCAACAGGCCAGTTCCAAAGGCCACTTCTGCAGGAACCTCCCTGGGTCGAGTGTGTAGTCCATCCTCGCCCTCAGCAAGTGTCAGCAAATGATATCAAATGTAAACATTTTACTCCTGATAGCACACACTGAAGAGTGGTCGGAAGGGGAACGTGCAGTTGCTTGATCCATCCGTTCGATAGACTGCGTTTCGTGTCGTCACACAAAGCTTCAGGTCAAGCATTACTCGTCACGCCAACAAGCACGCGGTTGACATCGCAATTCAAGTGACGTTTGTTTTAGGTGCTTCGAAACACTTCAAAGGCGAGGGTCACAAAACTCTGTCATAACTAAAAAATAAAATAAAACTGCAGAATAGTAATAAATTATTATGAGCAGAATAAATGTATGGACTTGTTTTTAGAATTGCACGGCAGGACAGATTAAATACTGCAGCGGGCTTTCTGTGGCCCATTCAGCACCCCTATTCTGACTTGGTCAGAAACTATGCGAGATTGTGTTTTTGTTATGCATTCATCAGTAACATTTTAGGATTAAAGTAGCCCAGTGGTGGGTAAACACCCCTGGTCCTCGAGGGCCACTATCATGCATGTTTTAGATGTCACCCTCCTCCAACACACCGGATTTAAATGATCAGCTCATCAGCAAGCTGCCTGATAGTGATCCTGTTCATTTGAATCTGGTGTGTTGGAGGAGAAAAGCATCTAAAACATGAAGGACCGGAATTGCCCATGCCTATAGTAGCCTGACAAAATAGCATTTCTTTTGTACGTTTTTTTTTATTTTTCAAGGTCCCATCAACCAACAGTTGTCATCAATTGGTCTGAATTGTTACGAGATTGGATCTTGCTCAATGTAATCCACGGTGACGTCATTGGCAGTAGGCAGTCGAAGACCCTGAGCATGTCGTTGTGGGTGTGAGGAGGCCTCACAAACTGAGCTGAGGACTGGCACGGGCGCTGCTGCCGGCACTGGATCTGGGACTTTGCAAATCGGGTGGACTAGGAACAAAGGCGTCCCCGTCTGAGCCTTCGTCCATGTCCATGTGATCAGACTGGTGTGGATAGATGACCACCACCCTGGAAGATGAGAGCGGTTACCTTTCAATTGCAGTTTTCAATTGTATCGAGAACACGTCGGTCAGCGTGCGCACCTGGATTTCGAAGGGTAGACTGGTGCTTCTCTGTGGTGTTCAAATTTGGAGATGTAGTTACACTTGGACCACTGGGTGGATAAACCAACGCGGAGGTTTGGCATTTGAGATTCGGTGTGTGTTCATAGAGATCAACGCGGTCATGCTCCTTACCATGTGAGCAGGATCATTGGTGCCAAGATGGACTCCTTTCTGACACAAAGGTCTGAGGAGATTGATACCTGCACACAGATCGTGATATAAGATAAAATAAGAAAACCTTTATGTCATCTCAAGACTCTTGTCAGTTTAGTCAGTTTATGAATTACACAACAAATTGTCCGATATGTGAGATGCAAAATGTACAAACATGTTTTCTAAAAAAGCCAGCATGTCGCATGTTTCACAAGAAAAATATAATTAACGCTCTCATGCACCGTGAACCTGATAACATGATAAACTGTCCACTGTAGTAACCGCTGTCCCTGAAAGGATTAAATTAAATCACACTTCTGGGTACAAAGCGACATCCAGTTAAAACAAACAAAAAAACAAAACACGACTGACTTTGAAATGCAATGTCTAATTCCGACCAGCAGAGGACAGCCTTCGCTGTCTTGCGAGAGGCTCCAAAGGGAGGCCTACATTCGAAAAGTGAAAAGGACACCATGTTGCAACAGTGGCATGACAGCGCACATTATAAACAAATTATAGTTTTGTGTTTTGTATAGAAATCACCACGATTGACCTGAATTCATCAGCACAGCACAACCAAACGCGATCATATGATCGCGCAGCCCTCTTTGTTTTTCATAAACGGAAGAGGGCCAACAATTTTTGTTTCAATGTGTTTAAAATGACTTGTTTTTATCTTTCTATTTACAATGGTTCACTACAACTACATTCGTATGAGTTAAAATGCTATTAAACATTCCTTGTAGATTTTTCTACTTTCTTCCCTCCCAAGTTTTGCTGCTGTAACTTGCGAATTTCTCCATTGTGAGACAAATAAAGGTTTTCTTATCTTTACTTATTCTGATATGATTTCATGATGGCGGCACTCTGCAGCCAATTATTTCTATTTCCATTCATTTTTTTAGCAGCAAAATGTTGAGTTTGAATTCTATTGACTGAGACAAGCAAACTTTCCACCATCGGTGGTGCTCATAAAATTCACTGACAAACCTTTTGTCCTGTTGTTGCAGTACTTGCGCTCCCACTGGTCCAACACGATACTGAGGTAGCGCGGACACTCAAAGAAGCGCAGGTATCTGGATGACGACGGCGACGGGAAAATGCGTTCAAACTCTCCTCGGCGGCTCAACTCGTCTTCACTCTCGGCGAGCACGCGGACATCATTGGGAGTCAAAACATCCAACACTGTCGCCAGGACGCTCTAACAGAAGAAAGAAAATGTGAATACTGTTTTGGAGACAGAGTCGCAGGCTACAACTACTTAGCGCAGTGGCCTGTGGCTCGGATGCCTTGAGGTTGACACCCCGTGGTCTTTTATATTTAAACATTTCCTGAATTGTAGATGAATACCTAAGTCATTGATATTATGACGAAATATTGATGGGACAGAATATGTTTTATTATCATAACAATCAGTTCATAGCTTGAATTTGTTGACCTCTTAATGTGTTGGAGAACATTTGAATTTGAAGTACCGTATTGGCCCGAATATGAGACGGCCACTGATTATAAGACGACCCCCTCTTTTTCAAGACTCAAGTTTGAAAAAAGACTTTGAACACCAAATTAATTTTTATGCAGAAAATAATTACAGTACATCTGAAACAAATAATTATAACAATATATTTGAGAGAAAAAAGCATGTTATTTTGCCTCATTCAAATCTTAATATCTGAATCTATCAATTGTTTGAAGACTGCCTCATTTATCACCATCATCTTGAAGTTTACATCATAACTTCTCCTCAGCTGCCGGTTAACCTGGCCGATCGTCGACCCACTTTTCTCCAGATTGTCACTACGTTTCTCCAGTTTCTGTTATCTCTTCTATTATTTTCTTCTCTTTTCTTTCTTAGCGCTATTTTTAATTTTTCTTCTTCGTGCTACCGCTATTTTTATTTTTATTCTTCGTGGCAGGGGTTTGCTCTGGCCTGGGGAGTCAAGTTCAGTATCTGGCGCCATCTAGCGTCGTGAATGGGTATAATGCCTAGACCCCGAATATAAGATGTCCCCCACTTTTTCAGTCTTATATTCAAAAAACACTGTCTTATATTCGGGCCAATACGGTATTTTCCAAACTTTTTAGTGGTACTGTATATGGTTGGACGCTTTGGTAAACAAATGTCGAGGTGTTTTCCTCTTTCTTGTTTTCATGTAACTCTTGGTGTGGTTGTGTACCTGGTCAGCAAAGCGCTGTTTGAGGTAAAAGGCCCGTTTCACCTTCTCGTCAACGGAGACCTCCACATTGCTCGTCTCCTTGCTTACGCCACACAGGCTATCCACAAAGGCAAAACTATCAGTATGCATTTTAACTTGGACATGTCCTTGGTGCCGCATGTTCCCCTCCTCATACCTGCTGTTGGAGCTGGAGGTGCTTCCACTGGCGGTGACAACATCCTCTTGATGAGGGATACGAAAGCCCGCCAGGTTTAAGAGGTCGCGAACCATTTGACCCTTGACGGAAACATCCAGTGCCGTGTTGGAATGGAGGCTGCATGACGGAAACAAACAAAACAAAACAAAAATGTTAAGCACAGAAGCTTGGTTATTTATTGATGAAACTGAGCACTCTTTGTATCGCCAATGGTACCTGTGTGTGTGTGTGTGTGTGTGTGTGTGTGTGCGCGCACACGTTACCTGGGCGAAATGTTGACCTCAAGGATCCAGGGTTTCAGGTTTTCATCCAGCATGATGTCAAAGCCAAACAGCTCATGGCAGCTATAAGGTGTACGCACATGCATCCTGAGCAGAGAGTTCACATACGGTTCTGACCTGAAGACAAACACACCAGAGAGACAGGAAGTCACCATCAAAATGCAGCACGTGAATCTTACAAGTACAGTCATTTCTCATGTAGACTACGGTGAATTCAAATCTCATCAAAAATTGAGGGGGCATACTATACATTGGTGGACGGAAAACGAAAAATGATCGTCAAATTGTATCGAGGAAGGGGAATCTGATGTCTCCAACGGCGGCTTCAATTTTGAATGGCAAAGTACAGAAGGGGTGTGCTCCGGTGAGATAACACAGAACGGGTTTCCCGATTGATTGGTTCATTCATCGTGGTCCCCTGGCAACCATACACGACAACAAATGTGTGGAAATAGAGGCAATCAATAACTGCATCATTTGACTACATTAACCGTTATTATTTACATTGGGGGAAGGCAACAAAAACATCAACTTGTGCTTTCAAGATGACCAGAAGCACATTTCAAACTCAAGACAGAAAAATGCCTTGATGACAACTATCTAAACCAGTGGTTCTTAACCTTTTTAGAGGTACTGAACCCAACTGGTTAATATGCACATTCATCGAACCATTCATGAGTGAAAAATAAATATGTATGTATTTTTTACCAAGATATTTTAAAAAATGCATTTACAAATTCCAAGATATTAAAAAAATGCATTTATTAAAAACAGAAAAAAAATTTTCAAGAGATATGTTTTTTTTTTTTTTTTTTTTTTTTAATTTACAAGCCATACTACCCAACAA